CCAAAAATCTGTTATTAACCGCTAAAAGTTCCCACTTTCTCTAAAATGTCTTTATTTTTACAGAAATGTCAAGATTTTGTTAAACATGATCCCAAAAATTAGCTTATTTTCCAAAAGACTGTTTTCAAACTGTCAAAAATGTCCTTAGTTTCCAAAAAGTCTTTATTTAAAAAAATAAATAAATAAATAAAAGAAATTGTTTCTTTGTCAAAAAAGTTCTTATTTTCAAACAAATGTCCTCAGGTCACAGAAAATGCTTCCATACAAATGTCTTACTTGAATTTCTGTCCTGAAGTGAGGACATGTTCGATTCTCTCTTTCTCAAATAGATCCTCACGTTATCAGAACGTTCTCTGAATGTCTCTCATCTGTCAGAGTCTTCTTTAAAAAGATAAAATAGAAATAAAACATCGTCACTCTGTCCACATGTACTTTTTATTTCAGAGATATGAACAAAACGAGGTTTAAACGCATCGTTTCCACAAATGTCCTCACAATACACAGAAAACATTTTGGTCCCCACAAGGATGCTCCAGCGCGAACACACACCCTCTGTTGTCTCGGTAACGGGAGCTGACTCGGGGTGATTCGTCCATAATTAGACGCTTCGAGTCGTCCTGCGGGTGGAAGAAGCTCCGCTGACTCCTCACACGACATGAACTCCCCCACAGTCACGTGACCCGCGCTGTCCAAACGGCAGCAGCTCATTGGACGCTGCCCACTCTGAGGTCAGCAAAGGAAATTGGAGGACCGGGCCACAGCTCGTCCCACAAACCATTCCTCTGATCGTCTTTGTGTGATTTATTTCCCTCCTCAGGCGGCCGTCGCTTTGAGAAAACAGATATAAACCCACAGAAGAATGAATGGATGAATATAAATAAATGGATCACATGACTTCATCGTCCAGCGCGGAACTCATGTTCACACCAACAGCAGCCCGTAAACATCTTCTGTCATTTACTTTCTACCACAACGTTATTTTCTTCATTTGACTGTTGATGTTCACATTTATGGTAATTTCATTAATATTTATTTTTGTTTCATAGATCAAAGTGTTGAATTAAACTTTAATACAATCCGTGTGTTTCTACGATACAATCATTGACATTAACGGCTAACGAAGTGTTCGTTGTTTAATTTGACAGAACTTTACTTTTTTCTTTATTTGAGTTAATTGCATATTTGAAATAAACTAAAATATCCCGAAAGTTTCAAAAACAGTCAAACACTGAAAAAATGTTTTTTTGAAAAACGATTTTTACAAAAAAGTAAAATTTTTCTGGCATCAAACTGTTGAAACAAAATTTCAATTATTATGATTTCACAAATATTCCTTTTTTATTTATTAGACTAAACTCTTAAATTCAGGTTTAATGCTGTAAATATGATTTTAAAAATTACATCACTAGAAAAAAAGTGATTTTGATGGAAAGTATACATTTTATAGCTCGTCCCAAATTTTTAAAAATATGTGCAAATAATACAATTACAAAAATAGACTGTGAACTAATGTACAATAAAAGAAACTGGTCACTGTGAGAAACTATTACATTTAAACTTTTTAGAAAAGAAAATGGAATTTTGTTTTTTCCATCAGCAGGCTGGTGAAATACATTCGCAAATGAGTTGTGATTTTGACAAACACTTGTTTTTTATTTAACAGATAAAGCTGTTAAATTCAGGAATAACTGTAAAAATAAAATAAAAATGTGTATATATATATATATATATATATATATTACACACCAAAGACATTCAGTTGGCTGAAGGAAGGAAAAGCAGAGAAATCTCCAGTTTAGAAGCTGGAAGCGTGAACGGCTGGAATTGTTGCATCAGAAATGACTTAAATGGTAAATCTATCTGAAACTGTCATTTTCTGTCAGCCATGTGTAGATGGACCTGACAGAATGAACATCCTGCAAACAAATCTAAACTTTGACCTCGCTGTCCGTACGCATGTCCGTCCCAAACTGAGGACCAACGCTGTCCCCACTTCTCAATCCTGGTCCCCGTAAAGCAGTCGTCCATGAACGGACATATTCAGTAAGAGGAGCTGATTGGCTGCAGTTCGTCCATAATTAGACGCTTCCAGTCGTCCTGCAGTAGCTCCACCGAGTCGACCCTCCTCCAATGAAAGAGACTTTTAATGGTGTAACAGCTGTTGAGGGTTTATTGTCCACTGCAACACTCCACTAATGTAAACATGATATTTGTCACTGATGCCTGATGATGGATGAAGCTGCAGTTTTAAAAGTTATATTAAATCAGCTGGTTTGACTTTGGCTGGAGGTGGTTCAGTGGTTAGCACCGTCGCCTCATAGCTAGAAGGTCGCCGGTTCACGTCCCGGTGAGGACACCCGGGATCTTTCTGCGTGGAGTCTCCATGTT